TCTGACCCAGGCCATGTGGTGATAAGAAGGAACAGGAGAGGTGGTTGGTCCACTCTGCTCTTTATGTCCTTGGTTTGAGGCATAAAGAGAGTTATGGCACATGTGCAAACCAATGGACGCTGCTTGCAAGAATTCTCCAACTCTGGATGCATGCGGACCCACAGTGGAAAAAACACATAGGAACCAGCACTCGAAGAACTATTACTTTGGGGCTGGCTAGCTTTTTGGACTCAGTTTTGCTAACTATGCCAGTGAAAATTGTAAGTTCCTTTAAACCCGTCAGTGCTCACTTATGAACAATTCCAAAACCATAGAAGACAAAGGGAGTCTTTTCATGACTTCAGTGGGTTTTGGATCAGGTCTTTATCCAGCAGCACACATGTGCATAATACTTATGTATCTTTAAGAGTGTTCCTATAGAATAATTTTTCTGCTGTATATACTCACTTACTTTTCAAATGTTCATATGTTTTAAAAATCAAAACCAACTGCTTTCCATTCAACAAGCCAGGAATCAAACCTCAACGAAGACTGTGAGCCCAGGACCTTATCCTACTACAACTGACTTTATAGGGAGCAGTAGGCCACAGTTAGAGTCCCTTTATTCATAAGTGAAATTAATGACATGCCTAGTTTGTGTAAGAAACAGAATTTGGTGCTAATGCCTATGCCAAGTTTCACACTTCAGCTATTTGTGCCATAGCCATTTTTTTCAAGAGCGTGGTTAGAATAATTTTCATAATGGATACAGTGGATTTTGTTTTCATATTCACAAAACTCAAACAGCTCAAGGGAATTTTGCTCAAACTTTCTACACACAAAAAATCACCTCCAGGCAGAGACCAAGCATGGAAAATTGAACACCAAATGTCAATTTCTGTGACGTTATAAGTGTGTGAAACCAGGGGTTTATCACAGAATCTACTTAGCAAGCTTAAATAAAGCAGTTGCTACTGATGACTACTATAGTAATAAATAAGCATTTTTCCTAATTTCTATGTTTTGTTCATATGTAAATCCGAGACACTGAAATCTTTTACATCAGCTTCCTCAATTTCTGAAGACTGACTAAAGAAAGGAAAAGCAGATTGATCTAGATTCTAGATAGTGGTTTATAAATATAATCTAAATTTTAAAAATTAACAATAAAAAACAGCAGTTCAAAACCTCGCGTGCCACATAGTAGCTCCAGGCTCCATTCCTAATCTTACAGCCTAATCCAGTCGTGTCTCCCTGCAAAATTGAATTTCTACATTAACATTCACTCAATTCAATTGCTCCCTGGCACACAATAATTCTGTGCCATACAAGGGCAAGTATCTACACCCAATAGAAGAAATTTAAAAGAAAGTGCTAGATGGGATATAGAGTCTGGTTCTTAGCTTGTGCACTGCAACAAAACATGGTTTAGATTTAAACCATTTTGAAGACACAGAGCAGTAAATGATGTTCCACAAATCTCTTTCAGATGTTTTTCCCCGAAGATCAAGTGTGTTCATGCTCTGAATCCATATGCAGTCAGATAACTTCAGAATACTTAAGCAACACTACACTTAAACTTCCCAGAGAATGCTAGAATGTCATCAGTTTTCAATTTTTATATTTATTTCAACAACATGTTATATGGGTTAAAACCTGCCAAATGATGAACACACTGGTGCTGAGCACCCTTAACTCCTACTAACTTCAACAGGACTTGTTGGTGCTCAACACCTTACAGGATTGAGTGTCCCACATGAAAGCAGATGTTTACCACTTTGGTAAGGCACGTAATACTATTGAGTGCTATGGGACTCTCCAGTGAGCAACATTAGATAGTGCAGTTCCCAAGGCACAAACGAAGAGAGAGCTAGCCTCACCAATAATTTCAATTTTAATAGATACTATACAAGCTATTTTATCTAACCACACAAAGTTACTATAGAAGCAGACAGCAAAATATTTCCAATTACTCTCATACTACTGAAATATAATACTGAATGTTTATGACTTTATAGATGTCTGTTGAAAGTTTCTCATGCTATGTAATACTCTCCTGCTTTGAGGAATTAACTGCAGATCACCACTGTGGATGCAACACACTACATGCTTGAGTACACTGGAGCTTGGCTAATAAAGCATCTGAAACAGATTTCTGATATATCGTTCACTTGCTTAGTATCTCTGAAATGGCTTAACAAATATAAATTGTGTTTTGTTACCATGCACGAACAGCTAGCCAGCTATGGTCACTCTGTCCCACCCAGTGCTTTCTTCTAATTTCCTCTGCTTATGGTGAAGGGATCCTTGCACGAGCCTGACATAGAATCACTTTATGTCAAAAAAACATCTGAGTGAGCTTTAATGCAGGAATCCAAAACTGATGAGGGATGAGATTCTGTAGACATGCTGTAATGTGAAAATGTTATGTGTGGTAACATAATGAAAACATGTATTTATCAATATAAATGTTCCAAAACTTTTGTACTGTTTGGATTGCACTTATCCTGATTCATAAATCTCTAAGGAAGAATGAGATAGGAGTAAATTCAACAAGTTTATTTTGAACTGAATGAGTAGTCCAGTACTCCTAACTTTGCACTTAGTTACCAAGGTTGACAATAAAATTTTTGCTGTTGGAAAAATGATTAAAAGATTGTTAATAAGGAGTTAACATGTTACACTGGTAGGCTTGTTGCACTAACATTTTACTTTAAAAACATTTAGGGACTGATCCAAAGTCCACTCTTTCCACGGACGTCAATGGGTTTTGGATCAGACTGTTAAGACGGTATTTGTCTTGTATGATCTGGCAAATATCCACATGCCTCATGAGGTGAGAGCTCTTCACCCACTGAAGTCTGTGGAACTGAAGAGCACGCTTTAGTTGATACACAGAATATGTACTAATTTAAGAGATGTAATGTTTCAAGATCAATTATTGTAATTAGGGTAACTTTCAAGTGGAAATGCATTCATGTAGTGGGCTTACTAAGCAAATCATTAGATACTGAACTGAAAGGACCTCACTATATTTTGGTTTGGTCAACAGAATAATTATTCCTAATAAATCCCTAAAATGACTCCATTCTACTACTACTAATTTTCACCACAAAATTGAGTGTACTTTTCTTATGCTACCATTCTGTAGGTCACATACCCAAGTTTTCCAACATTATCTAAAGCAGGGGTTCTCAAACTGGGGGCCGTGGGGTTATTACCTGGGGGGTCACAAGCTGTCAGCCTCCACCACAAACCCCGCTGCACCTCCAGCATTTATTATAATGTTAAATATAAAAAAGTGTTTTTAGTTTACAACGGGGGTCGCACTCAGAGGCTTGCTGGGTACACCAATACAAAAGTTTGAGAACCACTGATCTAAAATATCTAAAGTATCTTATCTAAAGTAAAAGAGGCAAAATGACCAGAAACAAACATAACAACATTTTATATGTTCTCAAAACATAACTGCAAAGATAAAACACTCCAATGTATAGTACTTTTCCACTGAACTGCTGGTTCCATACACTATGGCCCCAGTAAAAAGAATTACATTAAAGATTTAGGCAAAATGAAGAGAAATCCCAGAACAACCACAAAATTATTAAGGGATTTAATGAGAGACAAGACTAAAAGAACTGGATACATATAGATTATCGTTATTATTATTATTTGTATTTCAGTAACTCCTTGAAGCCCCAACCCAGGATAAGGGCCCCACTGTATTAGGCACTGTACATTGAAATTAACAACAAAAACAAAAAAAGTTCCTGCCCCAGAGAGTTCACAGTCAAGTAATATTACAAGACACAACAGAAGGAAGAAATGGGCAAAAGAGGTGGGGGAGAGGGGGAGGAGAGAGAGAGATGTGAGGACAAGATGACAGCATAATGAGGAAGCTTTGCAGTTAAACTGGTAGTCTCATCTTGCCATCAGCCTAGCCACTGTCAGATGGCAGGATTTTACAGGTAAATCTTAAGAAGGGATGTGAAAGAGGACAGGGATTTTATGGAGTTTTTCCCTCAAGTATGGGAATAGGTGGGAGAAAGCGTGAAGATGCCTGAGTGAGAAGTGCAGGCTGAGCACAGTGAATAAGGGCCAGATTTTCAGATAAGTCTCAACTAAGCCTCAATTTTGGCAGGCACAATTTTGCACCTGCTGTGTACTCCATATGCAAATACTGTAGTTAGATGGCTAGCTACCCAGTTTGTGGGTGCAGACAGTCAGACATCTACTAGAATTTGTGCCTGCAGGAGCAATTGCAAAAACGGAGCTTGCTTCTAAAAATCTGAACCCAGGGAAAATCTGAGCACTGTCTGTAAGCCCTTGTAAAGTGTAAACACAAAAGAGGGAAGGAATTGGACAGAGTGGTACAAGGCCATACAGGCAGGATTACTGGGATACAACTAAGAAAAGGCACACTTAGGTAACGTTTCGGCAGGGGGAATGGTCTCTTAGGTGAAGCACTGCAACCTCAATAACTTGAAGTGTTTAAAACTACTTAAAGCACTACAGTACCCTATGGGAACAATCCTGCTCTGAAACGGAAATGCCTCATACTGTTGATACCCCATTATTTTCCATGATTTTGTGACAACATGATTTAACACTGTATAAAGTGTGAGCAAAAATAATATTAAAAAGATACGGAATTTCTAACTTTGGTATTAATATTAAACACTGTTTTTCACATCATTTGGTTCGTAGAGTAGCTTATTTATTGTACTTATTGTACCACTTTTTGTATAACTTTGCAAAATGATTTTGGTTGAAAGTTTAAAACTGCCAGTACAACTTCAGATGTAGAGATTCAATTTCCTTTTATACACAGTGTGCTTCTTATTGTGGGGAGGTAAACAATTCTTTTGTCAACCATTAGATATAAATTAAAATAGAAGGTTAATGTTAGCAAAGTTTACTGTTGTCTTAATACTTCTTTATAAATGACAACTGAAAAAATTAATTCGTTTAACAAATCTTCTTATAATATTTTAAATAGTCTGTATGTTCATTTTTCCTACCTGGCCAGTCTGAAAATGCCTTGCAAACTGATTAACCACTCGATAGTCACTTGCAAAATACTCCATGAGGATAGAGGGAACTTCAGCAAAATCAGTAGGACATCTGGTCCCTAGGGAAGGAATTGATTGAGAATATGAGTATACAGCTATTTACGTTAGCACACATAATTCTATCTTTCCAAGAGCTCGTTAGCATTTAATTTGGACTTCTAATGAACTGTAATATTCTTTCATGCCTTAAGTCAATATTTTATTTCTATACCATTACTGTACATATTGGCAGAAAAACTTCATTATTATCCTACACATTTTACTATAAATCACAAAGTAAAAAAATATTTGAACAGCTGGGTGAGGCACTTTATGAAGCTGTGGACCACACCTTGCTAAAATAAACCAAGCTGCAGCCAATCTGGCCCTACATAAAACACCAAATCTTCTGAATTGTCCTCAACCTAAATCCAGTCACAATGTAAATCAAATTTTGCATTAATCCCACTCACAATCCTTGTTCTTATCTCCCATCTGTTTCCTGAGCTCACGTATCTCTGTTTTATATTAGCCTTTCTTTACAATGCAATCATCAGGTGAAAGCATTTTTGCAGGTTCAAAACATGTTCTAAATAAATTTGAGGAAGTAATTATTTGCAGTCACACAATGGTGTTTTTAAAAGCACAACCCCCAAATCCTCTCTCTCTTCCCTGATCACCTTCACTCTAGCTCTGTGTTATCAGCACTGTACCAACACTGAGAGGTACTAGAAAAAATGAGACATCATTGAACCAAAGCTGTACATACAGCAGCAACATAAATGTGAGTCAGGAATAGCAAGTCCTCAGTTATTTTATTTCCTCCCTGACCCCAATGTTAAGCTATCTCCTTCCTTGAAGAAAAAAACTCTTTAAGCAAATATCACTTCCAACCTCAAACTTCACTGCATGTGTATTAGGGCATGTCTACACTGCAGTAAAAAACCATGGAACTGATTAACAGGGCCCAGGTCAGCTCGTGGGGCTTGGTCTGCGGGACTAAAAATTGCAGTGCAGATATTTGGGCTCAGGCTGGAGCCCAGGGTCTGGAACGTGACTAGGGAAGGAGGTCTCAGAGCCTGGGCTCCAGACTGAGTGGGAACATCTACACTGCAACTTTTAGCCCCACAAGCTCAAGTCAGCTGACACAACCACGCAGGGGCGGCTCCAGGCACCAGCGCACCAAGCGCGTGCCTGGGGCAGCAAGCCACGGGGGCAGCCTGCCGGTCGCTGTGAGGGTGGCAGTCAGGCTGCTTTCGGCGGCATGCCTGCTGGAGGTCTGCCGGTCCCGCGGCTTCGGCGGTGGGGATGCCAATGGCGCGGCACCGGTGGACCTCCCGCAGGCATGCTGCCAAATCCGCGTTACCAGCGGACCTCCCGCAGGCACGCCGCCGAAAGCCGCCTGCCTGCCATGCTTGGGGCGGCAAAAAACACGCCCCTGCAGCCATGTAAAAGAACTTTCTGAACTGTCTGCAAATATTAAATGCAGCATATGATGTGCCAACCAGTTTGGACAAAACCAGGACTCTGACCTGTTTACCAAAGATGAGAGCAGGACCATACAGCTTGCCAGCTGCCATCCAGTACACTGATGCTGAGTGCCATGGTTTGAAAAGGACTGACAATGAAAAAGGAGCTCTCTTTTTTTCTCATGTGCACTACCCCTTTTGTGTATGTCTGGTGATATGTGACTTGGTAGGCAGTGTGTTCATTCACGCTCATCTATTTGTGATAAGACGACGTACTAAATTCCACACTGATAAATTACCAATTTGTTTTGTTTACCAACTAACAAAATGTACAGCCTGGCTTTGGAATTTCCATATTGCAAGTGCATTCTTTTTTTAAAAAATCACTTTTGATGCAATTTTTTTCACAATAAGTTTTCTAAATCATTTACAACCCAGGATCATCATACTTTTATGTTGGGTGCAAGCTGAGTTCAATTTACTTTCAATCATCCCATTATTCTATTACTACAAACAGAACTGGTTGAGAGGGGAGCTTGGAGGGCACTGGGCAACACCACTAGAAAGCATCAAAGAGACAGCAAGAAAGAGTTTGTTGGATTCCTTAGCAGGAAAGGGGACCAATTTCACTTTTTGTAATTGGGACTCTGAAAATCAAACTAATATCGGGAGGCTGAAGGAATTCTCACAGCATCCCAAAGGGAGTGGTAAGTAGACTTACAACAAACTGATATGAAAAAGGAAAAAGAAAATTTGAGGTCAAGGATTACTCTAAATTTCTGACCTTCAGAGCAGAGTTAAAGTTTCAATTAAGGAAAGTGATAGCTCAATCAGAAACATAGGACAGTCCTTGTCTTAACTTTGAAGGAAAAGCTTCTTTCATCCTTGTTCATAGTTAAGGGTAGAGTAAAGTGAGATGGTCCACCAACTGCATTTTTCCCATCATCTTCAAAGGGTACACATCATGACAATCCGCCCTCTGGGCAAAAGCTGGATACATGTCCCTTTGAAGCCAGTCAACGTCACTCTGTGCATTAGTCACGGGGGTCTCTAGAGACGAACAAGAGGTGTTCTCCCCCTACCCATGATCCAATCCCAAAGACTGAGCATGCTGCTTTTCAATCTCCAACCTTGCCAGCCAAGCAGCCAGGCATCTGAATTGTGATACTTTGCATGATGCTGCAATATACGTCCAGGCTGCATTTACAAGAGTAAGTTATACTTTTCCTATGTGCTAACAGAGTCAAGACAGTAAACAGAGATCATAAATTGAATCAACAGGTGTGGAGGGTTAATTGGAAATGTGACTTTTCACAGGCTTGTCACTGAAACCTGCATTATGATATAAAGATCTGTAATACCCTAATAAAATTTAAAAGATTATACAATATTTTGGAAGATTAAGAAATATATAAACCCTGCAGACAGAATTACTCCATAGCTGCACACTTAATTTTAAAATGCAGTTTGAAGAACTAAACTAAACTAAACTACCTACCGGTTTACCAGGTTCAAGACACTACAGTTATTTAAATACATACTCCCTACTTCAGGAAATTAATAAGTGCGAATTATACATTCAAACATTTAACAACAACAACAAAAATCACTATTCCTGATGTCTTACCAGTGACATGTTGGTACCGAGTTCGTCCCAGCATGGAATGCATAGCATGTCCCATTTCATGGAATAGATTCTCCATCATGCCAGGGGTTAGTAATGTGGGTGAACTCCTAGTCGAATGGGGCAGACTCAGCATAAGAACAACAACAGGGAGCTGGTATTCTCCATCTTTCCTTAACCTGCCTCCACGAATTGTAAAGTGACAGTCCTTTGAAGATAAAATAACCACTCAGAAAAAGCCATGCTATACAGATACTGTTGTCACATTAACAGTATTAAATAAATGCTGAATGTTTTAATATTAAGAGTTTTATTCTGCTCTGTTACACCAATGCAATCCCATTAACTTCAATAGAGTTGCTTCAGTGTAATATAGCAGAATATGAGCCAGTCTTTATTATACTTTCCCATCTCTGTTTACTATTTTTTTACTTGAGATTATAATAATGTTAAAAGATTCTTTTGTTTCATAAAGATAAAAACTAAATATTGCAATAGCTTTAACATCTTGAACAAAATTTTATTTTCTAAAAGCAGCATGTTTAAGTTTAATCCATCTAAGGAGTAAGTATCCAAAAGTTTAAAATTCCCATCTTTCCCAAAAAGATTTAGTTTATTGTCACATCAGAACTTCGCTGACCTACAAATACTATATATCATATATAGTCTCTCCCCATTAATTGGCAGAGTTTTAACAGCAAGCTCTATCGTGAGGAGACATCTTATTAAGACATCATTCTTTTATAAAATATATCGCAGAACACGTTACAAAGTGTTAGCAAAAATAACTAAAACCAAACCACACTTGACAAAATAAGTAATAATGCTGTTTCACAGTGTGTGTTTGCTTATTCACAAATTCATAAAATTCAGGCATTTGCAAAACATTTCTCAGTCATTAATGCCAATTAATGAGGTTCTGTTGTATTTTGTTTTGTAGTTTATAGACTGGCACCACGGTGGTAGTCAGCATGTCTAAAAATTGTAGACAGCTTCACCTATTTAACGTGAGGTTTGAGAAATGATCCAACTGACATTCTGGACTTTTGCCTTGGTACAGAGTGTATTTGATTTCAGATATTGGTTGTTCATAAGCAGCAGGTAGATAATAAGAAAGCCACTAACTCTCAAAAAACTGCTTATTTTAGGGTTTTCATAGTGCCTGTCAGTGTAGTATCTGAGGATTCAACATATGTGGGGCTTATTAAAAGGAAGTTATTGGCAAAAATAAAAAGTTTAAAGGAAGTTGAACAATCAGTGTAATTATATATACTTTGGAATTAAGTCTTCCTAGAATCTAAATACATTATAGATTTTTCTAGAATTATGTTTGGCTTTACAGGTGGTCTTGTTATGTGTGAATTTGTTGTTTGTTTGTTAGTTAGTTAGGGGAGAGGGATAGCTCAGTGGTTTGAGCATTGGCCTGCTAAACCCAGCGTTGTGAGTTCAATCCTTGAGGGGGCCAAAAAAAAAAATAGTTGGGGATTGGTCCTGCTTTGAGCAGGGGGTTGGATTAGATGACCTCCTGAGGTCCCTTCCAACCCTGATACTCTATGATTCTAAGTCCAAATGTATGTTGCTGGACTAACATTAATAGTAAATGATCCTAATACTGTAGTCCTTACTCAAGCAAAACCACCAGTGAAGTCAGCCCATAGCTGTTACCTGATGTGGTTTGTCTGCTCGTTGGTAGAAGTCACAATAGATGTACCCCAGCAAACCTTCATTTTCATGGACAACTGCCTGGAAAAGAAATAAATATATAATTTCCAAAGTGAAAGTTCTGCTGAGCTGGAAAGGTGAGAAAGTATCACACTCAGATATATTCAATAGAAAAGGTTTATACTGCATATATTTTGCAGCACATTATACTTTTACATAAAAAATAATATAGGAATAATTTATTCTACTGCAGTTGAAATACTGATGTACAAATATTTCAAAGCTTGTCCTTCAAACTGCACAAATTTCTGCAGTTTATACAAACTGATTACTCTCACACAATAAAAATAACCACCCCATCTTTTACCATCAGATGGCAAGTTAACTACTCCAGGGCTGCAGAACATAAATTAAGTACAGCAGGAGTTGATTTACCAAAGAGACAGATATGAGAGGGTAGCCAGAACTGGTAGATTAACCACTGAGGATTTGAGGAGCAGCAGTCCTCACTGGAGGCTGAGTTTGGAAGTGGAAGGGAGGGAGGGAGGGAGGGAGGGAGGGAGGGAGGATGCCCACTGGAGAATACTGGGAGGGAGTGGAAGGACAAAAGAACAGAGCAAAATGGCAAATAGAGAGAGGTCCATGTCTGCTACTTCCATCCTACAGAACAAGCCAGAAATAGAAAGGCTTGAGTCAAATAAGAAAATAAGACATGCACAATAGGAAAGAAGGGAAGAGTAAAAGCCCTACACAGTAAGAATGCACATTTGTAGCTGCATGAGTTAACAACCATGTACATTATTTCAGGTTTAATTCAGAAAACACAATTCTCTGTTTCTCTCTACGGAGAGACCCAGCCATTCTGAATCTGGCATCTTTCACTTGGGGAGAGATTTTTCAAGACATTTAGGCGCCTACAGATGCAGATAGGCATTTTCGCAAGTGACTAGTCACCTATTATTAACTTCAATTGGAGATAAATGCCCTACGCAATTTTGAAAATCCCAATAGATGCCTATCTGCATCCTTTGGCACCTAAATACCTTTGAGAACCTGTTCCTTGTCTCTTAAGAGACCACATGAGCAGCTCTACCATACGCTTTTGTGTTTAAGACTGTTAGGAATTAGAATTCTCACCAGTTTGCGAACATCTTCACACCAGAGCTCTCCTTTCTCAGTTTGCTCTGCATAGAGAGAGATTCCTAGGAGCTGATTGAACAAGAAGTTCAGACCTTCCATACATGCTCCAAGAGAGAAAAATGGACAGTACAAACTGGGCTCAATGTTATACCTAAGAAAACAAACAAAAAGGAGTCAAAATATTTGTTGAGCTTTACAATCGGAGGTGTAAAATATGGTCTTGATTTACTTATTATAGGCACTTTATGGTGCTCATCTTCTGTATCCCAGCATCTCACAACTACAAATGAATTAAACCTCACAACACCCTTGTTGAGAATAAATAACCTAATTTTTCAAATAGGGAAAGTGAGGCAGCGGTTAAGGCACAACATTTCAAAAGCATCTACTAGTTTAAGTCTTTAATTTTGAGTACCCAACTTGACACATGAAGGACACTATTTTCATAGGTGCTGAGCACCCCTAGCTCAAACTGAGTTGAACTAAACAGCTTGTCTATCACAAACAAATGTTGCCAGATGAATAGCAAGATACTGTAGCATGCATTATAGGGATAATACAAAGGACACAACAAAATGCCAAAACTGCAAAAAAGTTGTAAGAATGGATGAAAGTGCCTTAGAGCCCTAAGCAACCTAGTGCTCAGAATCCCTGATAATCAGTCCCCACATGTCGCAAACTGGGCACCAAAAATTGAGGTATCCAAAATTAGTGAACACTTAAGAAAGTTGGGGCTTAAGTGACCTGCCCAAGGTCACAGTCTGTGACAAAACTGAGAACAGAATGCCTAGTGCCTGATTCTTGCGTGGCCCTCAACCACAAAAACATCCCCGCTTCCTGGATTTGCATACAAATTGCCAACAATTGATACACACTAGCCAAGGGAGCAGCTGCCCTTACATCTGCCATTTCTTCCAGGCTCCAGAGTACTGAATGACTGCACTCTTAGTGCAGCTTTTTCTTTAGAAGATCATTGCTCCTTCCATCTTATATGCTTTTCCTCTTTCATGTCATTTTTTTTCATGTCATTTTTGTTTTTTTATTTCTCCCTGACCAATCAGTAGTCACTGAAGTCTAAATTTGCATCAGGAAGACTACAACAGCTGAACACCAAACATTTAGAACCCTGTTATTTTAAAGCCTCTGATCAAAAGGCTTAACTATAGCTAAGCTGTGAAAGAGTCAGTTACTCTTCATCCAAACTGCTCACCCTTCCTTCCTCCTCACCCCAACATACACAAAAGACAGTGCCTTAGAACTAAACACACTTTGGCACCGTCTTTTGGAGTCATGTTGCTTATAACTGCAGTTAAAATTCACTACCCAACTTTAGTAGGCTGTGGTGCACAGCGGGACAGGATTAGCACTCTAAGCCACTACACCCGTTCTTTTAAGCATTTCAATGTGGGTTTGTTTTTTTCCCCACCATCTTTTATATTATCCCAATAATGCACTCCAGCAGTATTTTGCTACCACCATGGCAACATTTGTTGAAGCTAGTGGAGATGTTTAGTTTCAAGACTTCGCATATTTGTACACTCCGCCCTGATTTTATTTCTGGCTTCTTGCATGTGTATCATTCTGATTTTAACTATAACAGAACACAGAAAAAATCCCAAGAACTCTGAAAGGGTATTGTACTGGTCATTACTTCCCCCAATACAGGCAGCACCAGTTAAACTCACCCCACTTATGTAACAGCTGCACTTTGGGGTGTGACACAGCAAAAAAACAAAAAACAAAAAACAAAAAAAAAAAAGACATACTTTCCTCCGTTATCATTGATAAGTCTCCAAAGAGCAAAACATATGCTTCCAGCCTAAAAGGAATCATTTTAGATTAAAGAAAATAAAAAGACAGAACACAAGTCTCCATGAGAGAGAGGGTGTGTGTGTGTGTGTGTCTTCCGTAACAGCACACACAGCAACTGTGAGAACCAAATGGCTGCTGTCTCTGCATGCAGGTACACTTCATAGTACTGCAAAGTACAGTACCTAGACTGCATCTATGCTAGTGTTTTTCAGCCCTGTAATTCCTAACAGGTGCAGCTCCAGCAGTAGTAGCACTGTTGTAAACTGTAGTAGAAAAAGCTCAGACAGACTCAAGAGTTTTTACCGTGTTGTCTAACCCAGCTCAGAAGGACGGCTACTGTGCAAACCTCTCTAAAACCTCTGCCAAAGCACGTTAGTCTTACTATACCACTCTCTCTGGAGTTGATTCCAGTACTGACCTGAGCACAAACAGCAAATTTGTGTTTTAATGGTTCTTTTTAAAAAAATGTGGAAAGACTTAGTAATTACTGTGAAAGCTTACTGTCTTTATACACATTGTTTTGATATCTTATTTTGTCAGTCTACATAGCTATTAGAAGATCGAATTTTTAAGAACCCAATTTCCCTTTTGTATTATACTCATGCCTGTAGCACATGATTTATCACCTGACAAGAGAAAGTTCAAGACAACAATGTAAAGGATTTTTCAGGAAGTATATGATTCTTATCATTATAGATATTATAATAATGTATTCCAAAAGAAATTAAGACTGGAATAAGAGACAAGGCTGTTCTGTTTTTTGGTCTGATAATATTTCAGTTCAATTGGTGCCCATTTTGAAAGAACAGCATGAAGAATTTTCAAATAAATAGGACAAATTTGGAAAGAGTCTGAATCTTAGATACAAACATTACGATTTGTTGTATTTGATTCATATGAAAGTACTGGAAGTACACGGAGCACCCATAACAATACAGTGATAGTTACATTATAAACACCTTTATGAAGCATACCTTCTAAAGATAAAAAATAAAGTCAATATTTGTGGTATGGGATTTCATATACATATGTAGAGATCAGAATCGCACAGTACTTTCTAAAGGGATGATGCAAGACCTGATGATAAGGACATGTGGATGTATTGCCAGGCACATTATTTCAACTATGTTAAAAGACGACAGCATGTTTTCTGCTATTGCCGAAACCCAATGGAAATGTTATATTAGCATGATGTTTTAAAATATGTTTGCTTGAAAAAGGCACAAGCAAATCATAATATTTTACATTCATATAATACCTTTTACCAAAGAAGCTCAAAGTGCTGCACAAAAGTGAGTATAAATCTCTGTGTTCCAGAAGATGTAGGTAATTTTCCTCTCTCTATTTTTAGTGGTGGGGAGGGAAGAACTACTGGAGTGCATGGATTGTAGAGGTAGGAGAGGATATGTTGACCCATTGCCCCCACCTTAGGGGACCCTGAGGCAAAAGCTGCCTTCATGAATATACCCCTATGCTGAGATGGAGGGGAGGGGAGGAGAGCAGCTGGAACCACACAGCTTGCCTTTACATACTCTGAGTTACACAAGCATCATCTGATTTGGGAGGAGAGCAGATAGTGTTGTAGTGGAGCAGACAGAATGGAAAGGAGACAGATTGGGTCAACAGAGGTCAATAAGCTGGCTGGGCCTGTGGACAATGTAGAGGAAGAGGGGCGCAAGTGGACTGTACTTTTTTTTTTTTAAAAGAAGGTTGGCTAACAAGACATGTTTGTTTATATCTTGTTTGTCTGTGTAATTAGATTGTAAGCTCCTGGGACAAGGATTATCTCTAACTATAGATCTTCAGCAATCATGCAGAACTAGATAGACACGCCAAAAGCCTATGGCCTCTTTACAGCAGCTCCTCTCTTCATTCACTGTATTATGCGGAGCACAGGTACAGCCATTCACTGGGGAGGATACCGTCCAAGCCTAATTATAAATGCCTTTATAGGAAGATTCAGTTCTGACAATGCCTCAGGCTTGTTATGTGACCTTGGCCTAGTCACACAACTTCTCCATTGTTAATATTTAATCAGGATCAGGCCCTCATCATGCTGTGGAAACACAAGTGCCACAAATGCCACTATTTAAACACGAGCCCTGAGTAGGGGACATATATTGGGGAGATTGTGTCTAAGCACGCACAGTTTCTCCTGATGTTACCATTTGCTTATCTGTCCCCCCACATGCAATCTGCTAGACCTGTTAGACGGTTAGAATGCTCATCGTGGTATGCTGGTCTCATTCTGAGGCATTGTCAGCAACTGAATCTGCCTATAAAGGCATTTATAATTAAGCTTGGAAGGATTGCATTTTTAAATCGGTAAATATTGATTTCATTGTACACACACAAACCAACAAAAATATTTCCAGGAAGGCAAAGGAAGACAAATGCTGCCTGAGAATGTATTAGAGTTGTTTTTGGTTTATTCTTTGTTTAAAAATTCACAGGAATTTTTCAGTGTTTATTACAAAAATTAAAAAACGGGAGTGCCAAAAACTAACTTAACAGTTTTCTAGGTAAATATCAGAGTTAATATTGGGGGATAGGAAGAAAAGTAACAGAGAAAAGTAAGAGTAATAAAAGTAAAAGCAGTTTAATGCTATGGTTTATTTCATGGATGGTCTAGGTTTATTTGGTCCTCCCTCAGCATGAGCTGAACTAGATGACCTCTCAAGGTCCCTTCCAGCCCTACATTTCTATGGTTTTAAGAACTGTACATTAACAGTATGTATACATACACACACGTGTTTCTTCCACTACACTGCCTTTACTTTAACAACCTTTCATTTACACTTATATTAATTATTAATGTAAACATATCTATCTAATGTAATGTATTGGATATCCTTAATGTAATCAGTATTTTTATTTACTTTAATAATCCAAAATCTGAGTGAAAAAAATCATTTAAAAAAATGAACCACAGCTTTTGTAAAATCTGGGAAATGTTCAGTTAAAAAAAAAAAAATCAGTAAAAACTGAAGGCTAAGGGCTTTAAGTATGAGGTAAGGCTGGGTTTCTCCATCTGTAAAGGGCCACTGCTAACTGGAAATTTGGTCAATTTTTTAAAATTAATTAAAAAATAGTTTCAAATAGTAACTTTGCCATCAAGTGCCTCTGGTAATGTTTGTGGTGTTAAAATATAGGGAAAAAATGTGATTGTAAGATGTTTGTCTCACTTGTTGCTGTGTAAAAACCCAACAAACTGAGGGTAAAACTACCTACTTACCTACATGGGAGAAACCGTGAAAATGACTATGCACAAAGTGCTGTCAAATACATGAAGTAAATCAACAATGCTTTTTCATCTCCTTTAACCTTTCAATTAGTTAC